GTGCCCTGCGTGGGACTCACTGGACTTTGCGTGTGGCCGGCCAGGCTCTTGCCGACGCCTGGACTAGCCGCCCAGCTGGAGCGAACGACGGTAGCCGCTGCAGCTGGCGGCTCCATGGCGGCGACCGATGAGAATGCGGCCTTGTGATAGGAGTCCCCGCGTTTGCGGCCGGCTGCCTCATGACTGCCAGTTACCCAACAGGAATGTGTCTGCTGAATCAAATATATCAAACAGTCTGGCCATCGGCCCAGCGACTTGGGAGAACCTCCATTCATCCTGTCTTTAAAGCAGGTAGGCTGAAGCAGAAAACGAAAGTTTGTCCAGTTGCAATATGGTAGCAGTCTACGGTGCACCGCGTATTTATTTCGGTACAAATGCAAGCGCCGCTGGTGGAGAAAACCTTCTGCAATGCTTCCAAATACGAGAAGTTTTCTCGCCGGCCTGCTAGGTCCGCGAAATACCAAACATAAACGTCGTACGTTGCAGCGGTGCGCGACGGGATGGCAACCATGAGCCAAGGTCATGGTGCAACATGAACAACACAACACAACAGGGCCAAGGCCATGGTTGGCCATGGGCCAACAGTGAAACACCAGTGGCACCGTAGTCTCAAGATTTCTGAAAGTCAGTACGAAGATCAGAAAGCGACGATGCTGGGTGAGGTGAGCGAATTGCGCAGAGGCATACTTAAGGCACTTGCGAGTGTACGGCTCTGGTCAGACTACCACCACCGGATCTCCCCAAACTAAGTTCTTGGAGTTTGGCATAACAGGCGTTCTTGCTTGTTGCAGTCAATAATGGGGAGAATCAGGGAAGAGAGTAGGGACAAAAGCGCATGTAGTGGCTCCTAAGTGACTCAACAAAAACCAACCTGCACAGACGATATGGGTGTAGTTTTACAAACAGTTGGTGCATGTGAGCTGAAAGTCAGGAATAATCCGAATTACCACCAGATCACAACACTAGACAGGTTTCTTCGCGGATTTAGCCCGCCACTTCTCGAAGTTCGGGAGGGGGTGAACCACATGCATGAGCCTTTTGCATTTGTGAAGGACCCCATGACAGGAAAGGCCCCCAAAAACACAGGATATATACATATCTAGCAATTTGTACATTCTTTACCTGGAATATAAGCCAGGCGCCACCGTGAGGTCAATTTTCCATAAGGGTTATAGTAAATAAACTGACAAAATCACACGTTAAATGATTGCATGAAATAAATCGCAGACGCTTTTCACTTAACAGCGGTCTAGTGTACTCTTTTTAAACCGATAGAACTCATAAACTGTTTTAGAATTCTGATCTGGGTTGTACAGAGATAACAAGGATTCAGCGAATGTAGCTTGAAGATCAAAAGGTGTGAACAGTTTGCATTAACACGGCCAATCCATGCTTATCCGGAGATGTTCCACATTCGGTCAAAACCGATGAGTGGAATAAATTCTGTAACGCAATGTTGAGCTTGCGCGTTCGCGTATCTTAGCAGCAACCAACTCGACGCCAGGCGTTGCGGTCTCTTAAAGCCGCGTAGGGTCAGCCGCACTGCTTACTCTAGGCCGTGGCCAACAGGTGGAGGAAAATAGCGACGCATCTGAAAAAAGTACCTTTAAACGTTTTGGGACACCAAATAGTACATTTAGATATATTACGTGCATATATTTCACCTGTGGCGGTTCTTAGATTGATGACAATGGGGTATTGGTCGTTACAGCACCGCGAAGTGGTGCTGGAATCTGGTGGTAGAACTGGAAGATTATAAGTAAAATCTCTATTTTCCGCGCTGCTGTAGCTGTCAATCCGTCCAAACAGCAACCTCACAGTTGCAAAAAAATATTTGCCCAGTGAAATCTTTGGCCTGTGCGATTAATTTTTAAAGACATCCAGAAACATTATTTTACGATGGCCATCGCTGCGCGCTCTGCGCCCGTCCCCCGGCGTTACTTGCGGCGGTCAACGCCATTCGGTTTTACGAAAACAGCGCCCCGAGTTATCGCTATCCTTGCTCCCTGAGGTAACGGACGTGTCACTGAGGCCTTCTGACGTACGCAGCTGTCGGGTACGCCTTACGGCATCGCCAGCCTCTCACCCTGACGGGGAGGGCGGGCAACGCAGGAAATCGAGCCCTGTACCTCTGTCTGCCCAGACGCGCTGTGGTTAACGCATGCGCGTTAGTCCCTCCACTATCGACACACGGCGCACAGGCTCAAACCTTTTGAAGATCTTTGTTTCACCAGTTGATTCTGCAGAATAATGAACGTTCTCAGGGAAACATGGAATGGCCTTGTGTGTTGTAAGCTCATTTCGGCCCACTCCACTCAACGCTGATGAGACCCTTTATTTCCGTTAAAGGGACCACTTGTGTTCAACGCCACGGGGCACATTGCTGTTCTCGGTCAAGGGCCGAGGTGCCATTCTGTCCCACCGCGGTGTATTTACCGGCTGTCATTCTGGCGACACGGGGCGGCATACCCTGGTCGATCCGGAGGCCCTTAGAGAGATACATCACATCAATTTGGTCCGCTCCTTGACGCAGGAGGCCTTCTGACCCCCGCAGTAGACCCCGGATCAACGCGTGAGCCGTCATTAACACAACATCCCTGCTCGCCGCGGGTGGTCGAATAACTGGCACACAGATTCCAGTTGGGCTTAACAGGCCCACGCTGGAATAGGGATGGAGGGCCCACCGTTCAGTAACGGGGTGCCCGACTGGCGCAGGACTCTTCTATTACCCCATTGTGAGCCCTCATCATAAGTTCTTACGTTTCCTTCAGTTGTCAGAGGGCCCCGACCAACGCAAGAGGCCCTCTGCCAACCGGCCCCCTTCCCCGTCCCCATAAAGCAAATCTTCCCCTGACCGATTCGAGGCCCATTGTCGACACAGATGCCATGTTAGACGCTGTGGACCCCTGAATGGTACGGGAGCCCGGCCAATGTAAAGCGGGGGCCCGGCCTTATATCCGCATGGAAAATGGGCCCCCAGAGCTCAGACCAACACGGAGCCGACTGTGCGTTGTTCGTGATCTACGGCCGAAATAGAGGGACGATCTGTCTCAGAGGTCCCCATCAGTGCAAGAGATCATCTTATTGACATTCGGGCATCTCAAACACCGCTCCGATTCGGAACCCCTGTTTCCCTGTTCAAACACCGCCACCTGCTGCCACGGAACACCTGTTCGGCTCTGTGGCCCTTAACTGGCACAGGAGCCCTCCATTGCGTCAAGGACTCCGAACATCGCCAACCCAGGCCTTGCTCCTGCTTGGGAAATGGGTCTCAAGGGCTCAGACAGACATGGTGCCGACTGTTTGGTGTTCGTGGCCTCTGCCCGACTTAGACTCCTCAAACGATGCGAGAGGACTTCTGACTGACATTTCAGGTCACGACTCCACGGGTCACGTTCTTTATGAGGCCTACAGCCAGCCCTCCGGGCCATTATGCCCTCCAACCGGACCTTTGATCCTCTGTTCCGGCGGACCGCCCGGGCCTCTCTTCGGGCTTTATCTTGCGGTTCCCTTGGTCGGCTCGGGACCCTTGCGAGCACAGGACCCTCTGTTAGGTCCTGTGGGCCCCTGACAGATACAAGGCCGGACCAGTGTAAATCACTGGCTCCGGCTTTATAGCTGCATGGGAAGTGGCCCCTCAGGCCGATGCCGACGAGGAGCCGACCGTATAGTGCGGTGGTTCCTGACCGATATATGGGCCCATTTCGACTCAGGGGTTCCTCGATCGACGCAAAGGGCCCGCTGACCGTTGTTTGAGGGTTCGTCTTCGCAAGCCGGGGCCCCTGGAGAACCCCGACCAGCGCTTTATGCTCTTAGACCCTCCAATCGCGCCCTTGATCATCGGACCCGGTGGACCCTGCAGGCTCTTTGGGCCTCCCCGAACACTGCCTCTGGCCAACTCGGGACCTCTTGATAACGCAGGGCCCCCGTTAGGCACTGTGGGGCCCCGAACAATGTAAATTGCTAGCTCCAGCGTTGTCGTTGCGTGGGAAATGGGCCCTTTGGCCCATGTCGCCACGAAGCCGACTGTGCATTACTGGTGGTGTCTGACTGAAATATAGGCCCTCGTCGACTCAACAGGCCCTGATCAGCGCAAAGTGCCCTCTGGCTGGCATTGGAGTACCCGGCCCTGCGGGTCGCACGACTGAATGAAACCTCCAGCTGGCCTTTCGGGCCCTGAAGTCGGGCCCTTAATGGTGGGTTCCGAGGGGCCTACGGGACCTAAGAGGGGGAGGGGAGGGGCATGTGCTCCCTGTGCCCCCTCTGTCTGCGCTTCTGTACACCACTCACGACTTCGTCGTACAAACAGGTCATGGCATCCTCAGATGTCCCACGAGATGCCTCTTTAAGTGCTTTGGGCAAGAGACAATCAGGAAAAGTCGAAGGTAGTCCGGGAGTTCTTTATGTATCTTAAGTTCCCGAATAAAAGAACGGCATTTTCCCGTCTCAGTACGCGAACGACGTATAAACATAAAACTGTCCTCCCACCCACATCTCTGAGCTTACGAGCAGGTGGGCCGAGCTCGCTCGAATGGAGGGTCTTGTGGGTGAATGGGATGGTGTGATTCCTGCCTAGATTTGCAGCGGAGAGCCAGCCAAGCCTCTGATGATGGTCCCACAAATGATGAAATTTTTCGCGGCCGAGCCAGAAACTGATGCATTGTCTTGAGCATGTTTTTCGATGCCAATGAGCTTTTTTGTTTTGCGACTCCCTAAGTCTAGTTCTACTCCGTTTTGCTTGTGTGGACACCACCTACTTCTTCACGCGTACCACTTTTGTGTTGTATTTTTGTATTTAATAAATATCAATATAAATATGCGTGCCATTTTTCTCTTTACAGCGGTCGTTGCCGCGGGCGCAGTAAGAAAACTTGTCTAAACTGGTAGGCTTGCGGCATATGTCTACCAGTAGTGTCATTTTTGTATCTACCGGTATAAGTATACTAGTGCGCCAGCTCAAGTCTCAAGGCTTTCTGCATTTGTCTACTTCTGGTATTACCCCTCGTATGATGGTGCGACTGGTTGCTGGTGTTGCGTCGTTTGGTGTTGGTCCCTGAAGGGGTTTTTGTGTTGTTATTTATCTGGCCAGTTGTTGACCTTCGACTGAATAAGGTACTGGTAAAATTGTTCTTATGTGTGGCGCCTTGCTATGCTGTGCTTGAGCTGCTAATGCACCCAATCTGCGGTCTGGTGCATGGAACTAGTGCAGTGATGTGCGCCTGCCACATACGCGAACACCCAGCCCGATCAAATCGCTGTGTTTGACTGTTACGTCACTTAAGCGAAGTGAAAGATCAACCATTACTGGAAAAAGCTTCTTTAGAATAGATATGTTGATTGTAAAAAAATATTTTATCCAATCTTTAGAGGGGATGAACTGGGATCAGAGCTTATGCCAGGCAGCACACATTTTGTAAGGCTAGGCTGTTCCACCTGATGATGAAGTTTAGCATGCTGCTCTGCTTGACACTACATCCTGCTCTCTGATGTCACATAACTTAGGGTGCACCCTGTTGCTGCCTGCAGGCTAAACCTGTCAAGGACAATGTAACTATATTTATAGCTTTCTTTATGTGAAGTATTATCCCACCAGTTTTCTGAGAGCATGTTACCTTCTCACCAGACTGCCTCGTATGAACAACTGACACTGAACTTTTTGTGCAGTAGAGAAATCAGCAAAAACAATTACATGTATGTCCTAAATCAGATTGCTCAGCACCTGGGAACAGTCATTGCCAATTTTAGTGCTTGGTGAGATAATGTTAGGAAATTATAGTATTAAGGTAGTTTCAGGAAAAATGTTCTGAAAGATGTTTTCACTTGGATGATAAGAGTGGAGCTTCATCTGGACATGTTTTGACCATGCAATCCCCATCGCAGCCTAATCAGGGTCTTGTAATGCAACTATTACTCACACCACTATACTTTCATAATGAGATCAGAGCTACATATGTATCATACAGCATCAAACCATACTTGGTTTTCATGCTATAATGGAGCAATTGCTATGATTTGCTTCCTTGCATCAGTGCAAATTTTTGAAGCTCCACTGTGTGCATTCCTTTGCAGTAACGATAAACAATATTGTTTTGACGAAACCCATGGGAACAGTGATATAGTTAGCATGCTACCTGGATTGGCTTATTTGTGGAAAGTGACAAATTTTAGCCTGGCTTCTGTCCCACTGTTTTGTAATGTGCTTGGCAATTGGTGCGGGGGATTCCGCCTTTGGGCAGGCAAAGATATATTCAAAGATATTTTGGTTTTGTTTTCTGGTAAAAATTGTTGATGGCTTTGACTGAATCAGTGTAATATAGAACATAATAACAAAGGTGAAGGAAATAAAGTGTACAGTTGAAGAAACTAAATCGTACTTCTAGACTTGAAGACAAGACTATATCTGACCAGCCAAGGACCACCAGGGCCTATCAAAGTTGGTCTTCCTGAGGTTCCATGCACATCTGCAAAAGTTTTCGCATGACCTGCATAAATTTAGGTATAAATGAGATCTTCAGACCATTCACACTTATCCAAATGGTGTTTGGATCTTGCCAGAGATGGACTTGTTGCAGTTTTATTTGTCAGTCCATTCCAATGGTTCACTACTCTTTGTCTGAATGACATGCCTTTTCATAGTTCTACTCCTACCTTATGCTAAAGAAACTGGTTTCCTCTATGCCCCTGCCCCATTTTCATTGCTCCATGTAGATCTGCCTTGTCCACCCCCTTCATGATCTTTTATACTTCTCTCAGATTCCCTCTAATTCTATGATGTTTTGGTGAATACATATCCTAGGCCATAAGCCCATCCTGATATCCCACAGTACCAATCCCACTTGTCATCCAAGCTGCTTTTTTGCTGTACTTTTCCAGTCTATGTAATCTTTCTGGAAGCATGGGGACCAAGCCTGTATGCAATACTCCAGGTACGGTCTGAGATAAGCTAAGTACAGATTTTAACAACATTCCTGCTCTTGTAATGGACATTCCCATTCACAAGTCTGAGCATCCAAAGTGCCTTGCTCCTAGCAGCTGCTTACTCTTAGCAGCCCTTAGACTAGTTGAACACTGGATTGTGACATTTCTTAAACAAAGAAGGGCTAAATGCATGAAACAAGCTGGCCAATTCAGTAACATTGCTAGCTCACTTAAATAGTGTTTCTCATTTGTGTGGGGTTTTGAATTGAAATAATCATGTTGAAGATAATTTGGTGTAGCTCATAACCTTGCCCTTTCTAACTCCTAAACTATTCTAGTTTCTGAGCCACACCCAAGAACGTGTGCAGGCTTTGTTGGAAAGACTTTCAAGTTAGCCCAGACATCCATGGCACTCTAACATGATTAAAATTGTGCCTTGTGATTGGCTTTGTGGCAGTCAAGTCCATGAAAACTAAAAATGTTGAGTTTTTTTCTTACATTCATAAGCCTAGCTTTCAGACATAACACTTATCAGTTGGCTATCAATTGATGTGCTAGGTATGATGGTGTGATCAAACAGTGATGCATCAAGGAGCATATTTACTAAGCTGCAAAATTGTGTTGTCTAGAGCAGTCTTTTACACTTAAAAGCAAGCTTATTTTGCATGTCTGCTACTTGCATTAATATCTTCACATGTAGAACATCCCTTTGTAGTGTTAAATATAGGGTAGATAAGTTCTTCATGGAAGCAAAATTGATTTTGAGTACTTTAGGGATACAAATGCTCCTCTGCATAAATGCATAGCTGAAATATCAACATTTGAACATGTTTCAATTGGATAATTTCAATTAGCTTTGATATGATGTGCTCAAGAACCATACTTAGTTTACCATGTAGAAATAGTGAACCATGGACAGCTTTAGTACATTGTTGCACTTTTGCTTAAGGTCTTTATCCTTTTATCTAAATGGTTAATGTGAGCAGTTAGGTGATCTCTATAGTGATTGGTACTGTTTTTTTTACATTATTGGGCAACTTTGTAGGTCATTGTGACAGGTTATCAGTCTTCAAGGATGTCAGTCCTATGGTGGGATAGCTCTACAAAGGATATATTTTGTAAAGGTGGATGATTGGTCTTGGGGTTGGTCTTAATCTCTTAATCTTAATCCCAGGATCTTAAAATCATTACTCATTAGGTTGGCCTTAATCTGTAATCTGAATCCCATGATACATGTTCTTGCCATATTGGAAATGGTTGCTGCTGTCTCTAATGCTCATTCTTTCTCAATTACAAGTGATGAAAATGGTGATATGTACTCTGGCCAAGCCAGAAATGAGTGGTCCTGTTTCTAATGCTTATTCTTTTTCAGACAATCATGAGTGATGAAGATGGATACAATGATATTGACAGTGGAGTAAGTTGACTTTCCTATTTTATATTTTTTATAAGTGGCAAACTCAAATGGAATTAACTCTCCTCACCAAGGTTGCATCCTGCCTTTCATTTGTGACACATTCCACACCATCTGGCATATTTTGTGAACTTCTGGCAAGCATTAATGGATGTGAATTCAAATGGATTACATGTGTCTAGGCATTGTGGGATATATGTGCTTTATTGTGGTAAGTTTGGTTGCAATGCAATAAGTTTGGAGTTGGAGGCCTTCTGATTGACTTTGTTGCAACAGTGGTGCTCTGTTTCATTCCTGTTCATAGACATTGAAAGGCCAGGGCCTTGTTTTTCCCAACCATGTTTCACTTAAAATGATGATGTTATAATACAATTAGCAGATTCATGCTCAAACAATGACATGGCCCATCTTTTGCTCAGTTATGGGAGATGTGTTTCACTGAAGTCTGTTGTCAAAGCCTTTTTGTTGCCTCCAGAGGTATGCTATTTATCCTGATTGTTGATGAACTTCTCTGAATGTTTGTTTTGATGAAAGTGCAGTAGAAGAATCAACCATCCATGGAAGACTACAAGTTCCCTGGCATTGTATGTTTACTGCCCCAATCCTGAATGTAGGAAGCGCCCTTCTGTTTTAGGAACTTTGTGTGTTTTTAAAGACAACAACATAGTGTAGTGGATAGAGGGCACTCATGACTTACAGTATTTGAGTTTAGAGGTGCTTCAACTGTCCCGGCCCTTCTGCGATGCAGTGTCCAAAACCTGGGTTCGAGTCTGACTGGTGGTGTTCTGTTATTCCCTTCATCTGGTGCCACAGTCTGCTCAATATATTGCTGTGCTAAAAGTGAGGAGGAGCTGAATGGGTCACAAAATAACCCAAATAATTATATTTTGATTGCCTATTGTCCTGTTATGCCCCAGACTATGTTTGATCCAAACAAAGGTCAACTTGTGTTTGCCATTCACTTAAGGAGGTGAATTTTTTATTTCCACTCATTGGCATATAACTTTTTCTGGAAAAGACTCAGTTGGAGTCGAGTCCCATCACATTGAGATGGGAGATTTGTCTATAAGATGTCCTATTGACTTCACAAGGGCCCAAACAGTCATGCTTTTTGATAACAGTGTAGCTATCTATTACTGTGGTTCATTTGATGTATCTAACTCACTTACTGATGACATGGTTAACTCAGTTCTTACACCAACTGATGAGAAATAGCTTGCTCAATTAATTCAATGTGGAGAAATAGAAAACTTGGTTCATTCTTGGATTGTTTCCAACTCTTCCCCAAGTCAAGTCCAAGGCTTGCTCAAAGTAATCGTATGGGGATCCAGTATCCATATACTATTAGCAGTCCTGTGTCCCAGCCTCCGTTTTTCCGTCTCGTTTTGTGGGTAGGCCCTTGCGGCACATCTGTTGGACCGCGTATCTCGTTCATTACTGACCGCCGTCTGCGCGCCAGGACGACGGGGATGACGACCTGGACCTGGAGAGTGGCTATGGAGACGGCTCCTCCGGCCAGAAGAACCAGATGCAGGTGGGACACAGCTGCCAGCGCGTGGAAGACCCGGGGCAGACTGCAGACCCACACTATGCGTGATTGCGCCCGTGTTTTATATGCTTGCGCTAGTATCCCGCTAACTGGACTTTGTGTGCAGTGCCCTTCGTGCCCCGGACCACCACTGGGTCGATAAAGGGCGCAGCAGCATGTCCTAAGCTCGGGGATTCGGCCGGACGTTTTTTGGTGGTGCGCGCCGTGTATTCACATTCACGAAATATCACGTGGGATCTCCGGTCATGACGTCGACCATGATATCATTGTCTCGCTCCGGGCGCTCATGCACATGCAGCTGCACATGCGTTGTCAGCATGGACGAGTGTCAGGTGCGCTGCACGTGGCTGGCAGTCGCGACCAGCACAGCCACTGTGACCTACTGACTGGCGTTCGCGTATCACTTTCAGTATGTTGCAACACTCTGACCGCCGCGGCAGTCAGATGAATGTAACAGAGGCTGATGATATTGAAAGCCAAGTAAAACTGAAAATACAGCCAGTGATCGAGCCCCTACCCTGCCCCCCCCCCCCTTTTGACCTCCGTGCTACGCTGACCGGGTGCGTTCCTGTCCCGCAGTTCGGTTCGCAGGCGGAGAAGAGGGCGCACCACAACGCTCTGGAGCGGAAGCGACGAGACCACATCAAGGATAGCTTCTGCGGTCTGCGCGATACCGTGCCGGCGCTGCAGGGCGAGAAGGTGAGCGCTCCCCCCCCCCCCCCCCTCCCCGCCCCCTTCACGTGGCGTGATCTCGCCACCTCGGCCACCACGAACTCGGGACGAGAGCTTGCATCATGTCCCGTGTGTTCCCGCTGTTGGTATAGAGCGCTCTGGGTGCCGATTCTGACGAAGATAGCAGCACGTTTGATGCTTGGTCGTAATCTGTGTGCTTATCACGTACCATTTGGCTGAGCAGGATATGTGTAGGTAGATCGCACCTACTAACGACGTTTCCGGCTGTATTTTGCATTGAACAACCCAACTTTCAGTAGGGATTTCAGACAATCTCATCCTATAGCCCCAACAGATGTCATTTTTGGAAGCTTGTCTTCGGTTTCCGGTCCTGTTGCGGTACTTCCCTTATCGCTGTGCCACTTCGGGTGCCTGAGCTCCCGCGGCATCGTCGTGTTAAAGGAAGGCTTTTCAGGAAGGGTGCTGTGTAAAGGTCAATGGGCCGTCAGGGGTCACGGTGCCGTTTGAGTCTGGGACCACGTGACTCCTTTTTCTGAACTGGTATAAACTGCTTGAAAAGGTATCGTAGGTACTGGTATCGTATGAACACATTTCATGAGTTTTTATGTGTGCATACGGGAACATGCGTACAGATGAGATGGTACTGATAGCCTTATTCATCGTAGAATAACCAGCAAGATGGAGAGGTAGATCTACTCATATTTGGGCTATATACCTTTATCAAAACGAGTACCAGTAGTCATGAATAACAACAACGAATATTTCCACGGATATTTGTTTTGATAAAAGCATGGAGCCGAAATACCAATCCGTCTGTATCCATTCGTCTGGTTATACTGCGAGGAATAAGGCATTAAGTGGTGTCTTACCCAAATACTGATATCGTTTGTAACTGAAAGAAATATATTTTGACATGTTAATCCACTCAGATTTGACGACATATTTAATCATATTGGACGAACTGAATATAAAGATAAACATGGACACTTTCCTACGTTCTAAACAATAAACATTTTAGTATTCGACGCGGGCTGAATGGTGAATGGACTCACGAGACAGTTGTCTAGGCGTAAACCGCCAGCTGAGCTGGCTCGTTGGGAACAATGCCGCTTTGAGCCGTGTGCTAGATCACAATATTCGTAAGTGTCATGAGCTGAATCATAAACTGATCATTTTTATCACGATGTTGTGTCACAAAGCCATATTGGTCAAATTAAAATGGTAGCATCGGGAAACGGCTCGCCTCAGACAGCCAGCAGTCCATTTCAGAGTGTAACATGAACAGTATGCGACATTAATTATGAGAGCCGTTTGCAAAATCGGCACAAAGTTTATTATTGTAATTTCAAAGCAACCATTCACAATATTGTTTGTCCAGATCTGAAGCTTGCCGAATCTCAGGTCTGGAACCAGAGTATATTGCTTGGTACCGGCACCCTGCACTCCTATATCCTATGCTAAAATCAGTGAATGATTGTCCGCTGTATATAAAATACATTGGCTATTTCTCGTGGTCAATTGTCACAACAATGAATTAATCCACACCTGACCACTCACCCACGACTTGAACGGCTGTGAGTATGCCCTTTTGTCTCATATGCCGATTGTGTGTCGCGGAATGTGACGTCCTCGGGATTGCATCAACAGCTGTATTATATCATATGTGGTCATGCAATCATCATCATCATCACCATCATCATCATCATCATCATCATCATCATCATATATATATATATATATATATATATATATATATATATATATATATATATATATGTGTGTGTGTGTGTGTGTGTGTGTACAGGCATGATATAGACGAATAAGTCATATGGTTTTGGCGTCATGAAGCAACGAGCCAGGACTGAGTTGGATCTTTGATTTCACAAGCTGTGTGAGTCATGGGACCAGTGATTCAACGCAAGCCGTGGGCGTGAGCTGAGTTGAGTCAACAAAATGTGGAACGTCTATGAGTCCTGACCTGGATGGGATCATAATATCTGTGAGCCGTTCGGAGCTAGATAAAAAAATTGAGCCGGATGCAAAATTGAGTCGAATACAAGTCTGGTTTGTCACGTTTGGAAAAAGGCGCGTTTTTCAGGGCCGCTGGGGTGCTCCGATGCCATTTAGTTCATGGATGACCTGTATGACTGTTTGACCTTACAAGAACCGTGCGTTACAAGACCGTGGCTAGCCTCGGTTATCAGCTGTGTATCTGCCCGTTTTTTGATCGCGCCGAACGTTGTTACACAGTCGAGTCGAGCGCAGATTCTGAAGAAGGCGTCCGACTACATCCAGTTCATGCGGCGGAAGAACTCTGCTCACCTGCAGGACATTGATGACCTGCGGCAGCAGAACAGCCAGCTGGAGGAGCAGAGTGAGTCTGGGGACGGTTGAATGTGGTCTCAGGCGCGCCTGTGCCCCTTCGGCCCGCCGGCAACCGCGGGCCGCTATTGGCAGCACTGTCTGGCTATCTGACTGCGGCCTTACTGTGCGACGGGGTTAGCTGCTGAAATATATGTTTCTCTTCCCCATCTCGGCCGATCCTTCGCCAGCTGGCAACCGACCGCTCACTCTTATGGCGTATGTAAAAATTGCAGACGTCAAGTTTTTGCTCTTGTGTGGGTCGTGGCTGTCCTGACTGTGCGTTCCGTCTTGTCCAGGTCCGTGTCATTGGCATGTCATGGATCTCCATGTGTGTCTCCCGACTGCGCCAGCGTTCCGTCCTGTCCAGGTCTATGTCATTGGCATGACATGGATCTCCATGCCATTCCAAGTTCGTTTTTCCCTTTTTCCTGAGAGTTCGTGTGCTGTTTGCTCGGCTGGCCATGTGGCCCTATCTTCGCCCGTCCCTCAGCCTGTGCTTGCCATGTCTTCACCAGCCGTGTGACCGTCTCCGTCCGCCTCCGCAGTCCGGGCGTTGGACCAGGCGCGGGAGGAGGGCACGCTGCCCACCAGCCTGGCGCGACCGTCGTTCCTGCCGCAGCCCTACGAGCAGGGCGACTCGGACTCGGATGAGGAGGCGGCTGGCCCGGCCGCCGGCACCGCGCGACCCGCACCCCGGACCAAGCGCATCCGGCGCTCCTAGCGGCGCCGGGCGCGCTGGCCGCCGAACCCCAGCCCTCAGGCCTGGCCTGACCTGACCTCAGCTCTCGGACGACGCCCGGCGAGCCGTCGCGCGCGGCGTGGCGGTCACGCCGCCCGTCTGGCGTTCCGTGTCTTTCGTGCAGTGGCGCAGGTGCGAGTGCGCGGGCGGCCTCCTTCTGAAGGGAATTCCACTCGCAATAACGCCCGAGGCGCCCAGAGACCAGTCGGACCCTCCGCTCGTAGACAGGCTTGTTTTCAGTACAAATTGCCCGGAATTGACAACGCACCGCGGTGGCACGCGCGCGAAACGCTCCGGTCCTGGTCCGGTCTCTGAGTGGCGAGGCATGAGAATGACAGGAGATTGGTACGACGGCGCTCGCTGGTCGGGCCCGTTCGGCGCGTGGCCGACAGCAAACCGCGCGTCGCCAGCACCGCTTCCGCACCTGTAGAGCGCACGTGACGCCCCCGTGTTAGTGCCGTCCGGCCCGACCCGGCCATCTGTCGTGACTGTCCCGGTAGACTCGTCGATGTGCCGCCTGGGCCCGCCCCGGTGACGGTGGTGCCCTCCGGCGGAGGAAGCCTGTCTCCCCACCGTCAATACACGGCGCAGAGCAGACGGCGGCGAACCGCGCCTTTGGGAGGAGCTCCACACTGAGGTGGGCGGTCTGACATGGTGCCAGGCCTCGCCCAGTGAGAAGCGGCTTTGGCCGTTTGTCGAATAGGGTCAGTCCAACTCAACGCGTGCGCCTGGGGGATGAAACCAGACATACCGTCGTTTGTCGGGGTCAGTGTCCAATGACGTCAATGCAGGTAATTCAAGCATGTTTTGAAAACCGGGTGCGCGATCTAAAAGTGGGCACTTAATTCTGAACAAAATGATTTTAATACAAGAAAGCGTTTCGCCAACGGTCTTAACGTCGCAGCGCGCATTAAGTTCCTTCCTGCCTGATGGCGCTAAGTGCCTGGCGTATTTGAGACGAGACGCAGCTCTGTCAAGCATTTGCGAGCGTGACATGCGTCATGATATGCCAGAAAGTGATCCGCACCGTCACGCAGAAAACGGCCCCAGCTGCCCAAGAGCTCTGTGGTACCGGTCACGGGCTGTACGACGTACAGAACCGAATGTGCCTGTGGCTTGTATTGTAACCAACCGACCCATGTGAACAGAACATACGATTTCATGCGCTGGACGCGAGTACACCTACTAACGTAATGTGCCCGAGCCGGATCGCTCGCGGGTAACCGTGCGCGTCACGCGCGGGACGCCGCGCCAACCGACGTGCCAGTCACAGGCGGCATGTCGCACAAAGCAGCATAAAACTGGACGAAGTGCTCGAAGCTGTGAATTTGTTGTAACTGAAATATCACGACTGTCGGTGGGCTACACGCTGATTCAAGCGATTTGACGCGCCTCAGAGAGCATAACATACAGACGAGTCACAGCCATGCATCACTTATGCAAACTAACAAAATGGCTCCTGTCTGCATCGTCTCATCGCTAAGCCAAGCTGAAGGCCATGCGAAAGCGCACACACCAAATTCGGCGGACACTGCGCAGTCGCTCTTCATGACTTCCACCGCGCTGTTTGTACGGGTCATCTGAAGGGTCGCCCGGTCACGTGCGTCAGTCCCCGGGCCTGGCCGACCAGCGATTGGCGGCGGCGGTGGCCGGCGTAGCGCGTGTGCGCTGGTGCGCCCAGGCCCTCCGCCCGGGCTGCTCTGTGAACAGCTCGGCGTCCGCGCCACCCACGCCGAACTCCACCACCTTCCTCCTCCACCTCCTCGCCGCTCGACTCGCTCCCCGGACTGCTGGTCGAGCTGGCTCCAGTCGGTAGCAGGCTCGTGCAGTGGCCAGGAGGGCGCCGCGCCAACGACCCGGTGCGCAGCGCCGCTGCCAGGCGCGGCGTCGTCCCGCCAGAGGACAGGACTCGTCCGGCTGGCCAGCGACGGCGCGGCCGCGAGCCCGGCCGCGGCCGCCCGCCGCACGGCCGCGGGGTCGGCCACGCCCGCGGCTTCGTCCCCGGCCAATCCGCGGTGGCGGCGACGAGGTCGCGTCGGAGTCGGCGTCGGCGCTCGGGGCGCGCGTGAAGCGCAGCCTTTTGTGCTCGGTCAGCTCCTTGTAACGCTGCGTCACCTCCGGGAAGCGACCGAACGCGGCCACGGCGCGCACTGAGTACATGGATGGCAACGGGATCCTCATCGTGTTGCGCACGTAGTCGAACGTGCTCCGCCGGCAGACCCAGCGTAGCGCAATGGCCTTCAGGTAGTCCTCCCGCGCCCAGGGCACCATGCGACAGTCGGGCCGCACGCGCGCCTTCTGCGCCGGCGTGAACACCGCATCCAACGAGTCCATCCAGCGGATCTCGGCGCGCGCGTGCCCCTCGTTTACCTGCATCATCTCAACACGGTGCGTGACGTTCCGGAAAGCGCGCTGCAGCACGCGGCTGCGCAAGGCCATGACCTCGAGCCGCAGTCGGGAGATGACGCGCAGCGCCATCGGCAGGTCGGTGGGCAGCGTCAGCATGTCATCGCCAGGCGGCAGCTCCTCCAGCACCTCGTCGCGCTCGCGGTGCAGTACCAGGATGGGGTCGGGATCGGGCCGTGCGCCGCGCACCCGCAGCGTCTCGGCTGGCCGGCGCCGGCCTGGCTCGTCCATGCCGCGCCTCTTGTCCAGCTCGGCGATGGTGGCCTCGTAACGGTCCGTGGCCTCGCGCAGACGCTGGCGGCGACCCTCCAGGCGCCGCTCGAGCGACCCTCGATCTTGCGCTGCATGCGCGTCATCACGCGCAGTTGCAGGTCCAGGCATGTACGGCATCGGCCAAGCGCCTCGTCGTCGTCTGAGATCTCATCGCCGAGCTGGGCGGCGGCGGCTCCATGCGCAGACTGTCCTCGCGCTCGGCGCGCGGCCGCTTGATCTGCGGCGACGCCCCCCGCTCCGGCCCGTTGGCACCCGCCGCGCCGTCGCCGCGCTTCTGGCCTGCCACTGCCGGTGTGATGGTCAGGCCCGAACTTACAGACACGCCTCTTGCTCGCGCTGCTACCACATGCATACGCTTACTACGCGTGCCTCCAGGTCGGCGATGGCCTGCTCCACCAGTTTCCGCCCCGCTGGCACCGGAGCCAGCGGCGCTTGTACTCTGTTCTTGGCTGGTGCATGGCCTTAACTGCCTCTGGCTCTCCTCTTTCACCTCGCCACCTGTCCAGCAGCCGGCGGCCGGTGCTTGCACACGCTCACCACGGCCCAGTGCCACTGGAGGTACCCTGTGGACAGACAGGTGTGTCAACAGCCAGCAATATGCTGTGAGGCCTAAATCAGTTAGCTTTGCTTACAAATATGGTGAAGTTCAAATGGATGCTTACTGGCTGCATCAACACCACTTGGAAATAGTCCTGTGAGCAAAGTTAAACATCAACATCATATGAGAGAAATCAAAGTTATTCCACAGAATAGGTGGTTTGGCATACGACAAGAATAAACTGTTGATTGCAAATCATGAAATCCAATGTGCAGCACAGTACCTGCAAAAGCAGCCTTGCACAGTTCATGACAGCCCACTAGGTTTAGCCATGCTTAGTTATGCCTAGATATCAGCAACACATCCTGTTCTGTCATCTTCCACTTACTTTGCAATACTTAATCTGCCAGGAACTTTCCTAGATGGAATGGCATCCGGTTTTAATTTCCGTCTGGGATTTGTTTCTACAGGGCCATTGTTCATTACAGCAAAATGCAGATCAGTGACATAGTCATCAGCCCCAAAATGTTGTGAGCAAATGGATGCCTTCTCCCTGTTAAGGTCACCTTGACGGCCACTAATAGCCACCCAGACATCCTGAAGTGCTTTATCTTTTGGCAAATGATAGAACTTTGTGTTTGGAGGTCTTGAACTTTGCTGACTTGTTCCATTGGTACATGTTGAAACCATACAATATGGCATGGCTAGTTCCCAGCTGAGGTATGCTTTACTGCCTTCAAAGAAGTATCCAATGGTGTACAATGAGAAAAGCTATTGTCCTGTTCAGCACAAAATGAATAGCATCCACTAAAAGCGAATAGAAAATCCACCAGTCACACCTTATCAGCTTAAGCATAAGTGACGTTAAGCATGAGGTGTTATCCTCCAAGCTTCTGCCATAAGCATTCAATGGGCAACGCGCGGCCATTCCCCCCGGGTAACTCTGGCCTCCAGCCTGAGCCCCGTTCCCTCGTTCAGCCTCCGCACCGCCCCGCCGGCTTCACTACGCTGTCATAAATCACCGCATATCACAGCAACAAACAACGCAAAGGCTTTCCGATTATGTTGCTTGATGCTTTTAAATCTCCGCTTACTGGCAGTGCATCGACGACAAGAAAACTGTGGAAGCCCGAAACATCAAAGATGTCTACCGCAGTGACGTCACCACAACAGTTCTACTGCCCACATTGAATCTTAGTTGCCAGATTACATTTTGAGAACCTTTTAGTGTGCTACCAGGCATTTTCATGTCGAATAATGAAAACAATGTTTCATGTTTGAAGATATTGAAACAAGCATCAGATAAATGAAACAAGCTCATTTATACCCGTTGGAACACTTAGAGCGCGTTCGGCCAAAGGAAAATTATTCAACGAATAATGGTTGCGCGTATACACCCTCCAAAGCGGAGGGCGATTGCGCACCGGGCTTATACACCCTCCAAAACAGAGGGTGGTTACGCACCGGGCTTACGCACCTTCCAAAATGGAGGGTGGCTACGCACCGGG